TTCAGAAAGGATGTGCCATTTCTTGCTTTGTAACTTGATTTCAGAGCATTTTAGTCCGACCAGTGGATGAACTGACTCAACAATTTTATGGCTTTTAATTTCAATCTATGTCGAGCAAATGTAACTTCAGGGTGTAGATTTTCAAGACTCCCAAATGGAGCCTGAAGTGTCAAAGACTCGCCAATTTTATACTCCAAATTTTGTGTTCCCATCAATTTTCTGAAAAAATCTGACTCTACTTGTCCAAACCCCTTTGCTTGGCTTCTCAGACTTCAAGGGTTAATAATCTACCAAATTCCTCAAGGGCAAACCTAGTAAAGAGTGTGGCACTCCTCTTGAGCTTGATCACTTCAGTCTGGGCTACCTTAGCAGCTCCAAACTCTTAAGTTTCGCCTCTCCCACACTGTGATATTGCCAAATGCTCTGCTGGCTTCTCTGCTTCTAATAAAAATTCCTCTGCCTGGATTTTCCATTTGTACTCCATACAATAAGTGGGGAAATGCCTTAGGGAGAAGCATATCTTGCAGGTATTATTTGCTTTCTGTGGTTCGTTTCTGTTCTAAGATTTTGGCCATTAAGTCCTAGCTGCTTCAGTGTATCAGTTTTAAACAATTTTTAATGGAATAATTCTTAGCTCTGATATTGATTGTTATCTGTGGGATCATGGGTCTGCTGCAAGTGACTTTTTATATTGACCAAAGAAAATCCCAGTGTTTTTTGAGAAGTTCCGTTTGTGTAATACCTGGTTTTGTATTAATTCAAATGCAAGTCTTTCAACTTGTGGAGTTCTGTGGTTTGTTTAAGTGATACAGTGTTTTCTTTACTTTGGGTGCTCCTTCCATACCTGTGTGCCCTCAGGAGGGTTTTGGAGACTTGAAAACCCGCAACTCCACCTAAGGAACTATGTCATCTTCCCCACTTTTTTTGGTAAACATCTGTACATTTCTCATCCTTGACATATTAAAGAAACTGAACATGTCCAAATGTGTCTTTTTATCAATCTCATCATAATCCTATTGCTACAACTTGGACAATCATGCATAATCCATTCAGGAAGTTCTCTCTTGCTAAGTTGTGCCACCTACCCACCTTTATACTGCAAAGAAACTTATTTTATTGTTTCCCAACAGTTTCCCAATGTACTGTAGGTGTCTGTTTTTATACCTCCCTCCTTGTGACCTTCAAATTTCTGGAGAGCCGTAGCTAAAGTTCTCTTTTTTCTTATACCAACATCCCTCTTGCAATAAATGTTGTATTAAATAAATGAATGAGTGAATAAATGAGTCACTCCCTCTTCCCTTAGAAGTATTCTGGGTTCCTGCCACACCAGTCATCGACTTTTTCCTCAAATGAGTCTTTGTCATCTGTAGTGGGCTGGAATTGTGTTCTCCAAAGGATAAGGCCTAATCTTAATGCCCTATGCTTATGAATGTGATCTTATTTGTTAAGAAAGATCAATAAAAATGTAAGGGTCTCAAGACAAGATCATCCTAGATTATATAGGTCCAAGAAAATTGCACTAGATAAACTAAACAGGCAGACAGGTTTTTGCATATGGCTGTTGCAGTAGGGGAAAGAGATTGAATGCAACTCCTATAAAGCAAAGGCAAGAAAATTGTGAGTGCTGTGGGGAGCTGGTAGGGCACATGTAGGAGAACCTAAAAGAGTAGGCTAGTCATTGTGATTAGGTCTTTGAGATGTGTTTGTTGATTGTCAAATAACCTGGGAAATGGGAACTATCTTCTTTGATAATTACATTTCAAAGAATGGCTCCAGGTCCTTGAGAAAAACATTTCTGGGAGGAGATTTACATTTTCAAGGGTTGAGGGAGAATTTAAAATTTGAAAATTTCTAAGTAAATTCTTTAATAAATGGGAAATTAGGGGCCTATAGCCCAGAGGACTCAGTCTAGTACAGCAGATGTGAATGGCAAGGCCATCTTGTTCATGTGGGCCTTAAATCAATGGCAGCATCCCTATGTTCTTATAAGAGGAATCTTTTATAAGAAACCGAAAAGGAGAGGACAGAGCCGAAGAAAGAAAAAGAATCAAATGCAGGGACAGAGATGAGGACATGTAACCACAAGCCAAGAATTGCTAACATCCATCAGAAGCTAAGGGAGAGGCAAGGAATGGATTCTCCTCCAGAGCCTCTGGAGCCTCTAACCCTGACAACACCTTGATTTAGGAGTTTTGGCCTCCAGAACTGTAAGAAAATGAATTTCTGTTGTTTTAAGCCTCCCAGTTTGTAGTTGTTAAAGCAGCTTTGGGAAAATAAACACCGTCTTTTTGGTCTTTTTGAAAGTCTCTTTCTTTGACTTGCCATTTAACTTATCAAAATTCTATATCTTATTTACAGCTCATCAGAATTGAGGTCCTTAGTCCCTTTTCCTATAATTGATAGTGTCAACTGAAGTTATGGCTTCTTTCTCTGAGTGCTGTTGATAATGATGATGATAAAGTATGAGAGCTAAAACTTGTTTAGTGTTTGATTTATATCTTATCTCTTTGTAAAATCATAATAAGGTAGGGACTGTTATTATTCCACATTAAGGATGATGTATCGCTAATTGGAAGAATCAAAATTCATATCAAGATATGTCCAAGTGCAGAGCCGATGTGCTTAACCCCTTTGTATTTTTTTGTTCATACAACTCAATGTTTACCTGTCTTATGTCTCATATTTTCTTGCATTATAATTATCCATGCATTTCTTTTTCTTTTCTGGTACAAACAATTCAACAGAGGTAATAGAAATCACAGATGCATACTCATATTTATTTAATTTTACTTTTTAAAGGTCTTTTTAACATTATGTTACTACATTTTTTTAAAAAAAATGAGTACATTATTCAAAAAGGAATTTTCAGCAACTTGCTTGAATACTTTTAACCTTTAAATGATTTTAAGATTATGTCTTATTTATCTTTTTACAACATTTGGCATAATTGTTTAAACATTAGAAATGCCCATATTTCATTAAAATGAATATAGTTAACCCCAACATTAGCTCCTCCATGTCCTCCAAATCCCCAGCTTTCTAGATACACATTTTTCTTTAGTTTTAATACAATGGTAAAAGACCTTGTTTGGCATATAGTGAGAAGCTCAATCTTCTTCTCACAACATTTCTGAATATTTTTTAGGCTGGGAGAAGGCTCCATTTTCTATGATAACCTGTCACTTCAGTTGTTTTCCTTTGAACTCAGCCGCCAACTCCACTCTGAGCTCATCTCTTAGTCCTCTTGCTATACCCAGTACTACTCAAGTGACACAAAAGTGTTGTGGGGATGAACTGTTAGTAATGGCTTGAAAAATTGAGGGTTGAAGCTTATCATAGATTTTACATTTCCTCTACCATTAAGCAAACAGGCCAAAATTCAGTGAGTGATTGGTGGCACTGTGTTGCACACTGAAGAAACAGTAGTCTGAAAACTGGTAAAAGATTCTGCGGTCATGTGGCCCATACTCTAGTCAGGAGAACACAAAATTCACCCGGGCATAAGGCAAACATAGAATTATAGCTCAGGTAAACATAATGAAAGAAAGGTCCATGATGGATGGAGAGCTACAGTGGTGGTCTTGAACTGAGAGCTGAGGAATGAATCTTCATTAACAAGACCTGGATCATGGATGGAGAGCAGGGGAGACGAATTGGAAAGTGTCCACAGCATGTGCAAACAAGTGATACTAAGGAGGAGCAAGGTAGATGGCAGCAACTGCAAGAAAGCCTGTGTGCTAGGGGTTCATAGACCCAGAGGGGGCAAGAGAGAGAGAGAGAAATAAGTCTGAAGAAACTACACTGAACTACTTTAACAAATGCACAGTAGCATGCCTTAGGTGTTCTTAACACATGCGATTTTAATCCTGAACTTAATGGGGAGATATCCAACAGTCTGATGTAGCAGTTTGACATGTTACATTTTGTATTTTAGGAGAAAAAATTTAGGTAGAGACAAGAATAATGTAGGTAAGGAATGGTGGATGCAGGGGTTTTAGAAAAGAAGGTCTTAGTCTAGGTGGGAGATGATATTCTAGACTAAGAATTTAAGAATTCAAATTGTTTTGGATATGGAAATTTCTCACGAATTCTCTCCTTAGGCCCTTCCCTAATTCTTTCTACTATTTTCTCTACTTCCACTTTCTCTCCTTCAAGGGCATCCTCTACCATCATCTTATTGTTTATCTTTTTCAGGACTCACACCTTCCCTGCATAATAATTTTAATAATGCACTAGTATGTGGGTAACTCGACACTAAATCTCCCATAGTTTGGAGCCCAGCTTGTGCTTCCAACCATTTTGTCATGCTATTGCCAAATGACCACATTTCCACCCTTAGTAATACAAGCACGTGAAAGAATTATTGAAATCACATCATTGTTTCAGTATATCTAAGCTCAAATTATTAGTCACAGGCTTTCATCAGAACTTCCAGGGCTGTGGGGCTATGTGTAGGGATGGACACTTTCTTTCTTTGCTTTTTTTTTTTTTTTTTTTTAAGAGAGAGGATTTTTTAAATGTTTTATTCTTTAGTTTTCGGCGGACACAACATCTTTTTTTGTATGTGGTGCTGAGGATCGAACCCGGGCCGCACGCATGCCAGGCGAGCGCACTACCACTTGAGCCACATCCCCACCCCGGGATGGACACTTTCATTCCCATTGAACACAGTCTACTGCTTATTTCCTCAAACCCTTCATATCCAATGTCTCATTTGCTGCAGCTATACTGTTTATACCTGCTAGGCAAGGATTGCCTTTTCATTATTGTGTAGTTTTCATTCTGTATTTCATGCAGGTCCTTCAAGTGTACCCATTTTGCTAACCTCAGATGGCTCACAAAAACTAAAAGCTAAACCCAGTAGTCTATACAGAGTAAGCAATTTATGTTAACAACATAGAATCCAAGTGCTTAGTCATTATGATTTAGAACTCTGTTCATTTCTGGGCAGGAAGAATACCTATCCCTAACATTGGCTCTGTTCTTGTGCTCTTTTAAAGGGAACGTCCTTCAGAACTTCCCATGTTTCCATATCCAGATTTCTTCACCAAGGCGGATAAGAACTTGGCAAAAATCGTTGACTATCATGTAAGATTGACTTTCTTAAACTAGGAGCAAAAGCTGTGTTCAAAAGCACTTTGAATTGTAAAATGTAGCCCTGATAAGGAAATATTAGTACATAGCATTTAAAATAGAGTCATGATTGGTCATTGAATGGAATGGTGGATGCAGGGGTTTTATCTCACTATGCTATCCACATAGTGAGATGCATGAGGTTTGCTATACTCAGTGCCTTCATTGGGTACAGGAAACTTGGGAAATACTAGCCTAATCCTGTTTCCTGAATTAGTACTGACTTCTTGTGACAAGAATCTAATATTGAACACTGAACACTAATTTCTTCTGCAGTGTAATTCTAATAACAGAACAAAAAAATTTTGACTCAATTTTCAGTGACCATTCTTTACCCTTGACGAATTAGAAAGACTTTTAATCACTTTGTTTTTAATATGCGTTAAAGAAGCAGTGACAATATAAGGCTATTCACGTAAGACACTTTAATTTATTGTGCTATATTTAATTGATAATTGCTTACCTAGTTCCACTCATTTTATGTCTACATTATTTTTAGCAGTAGAGCTGGAGTAAGAGACATTATTTTTGTGTTTTCTTTGAATGTAAAAAGAATTCAATAACATAAAAAATGTGATTATTTTATCATCAGTAGTTCAATATTCATCAGATTCTGATTAAATATCACCAGATTAATTTTTCACATTCTATTTAGTTATGTCTTAATAAAAAATAAGGGATTATATCATTTATTGGTTGCATTGAATAGTTATATACCACATAGCTAATATTTAAGCCACTGTAGCAATAAATTTAAATATTGAAGTTTGGAGACTGCTTGATATCTTAGAGTCACAAAAAGAGCTACTGTTTGGTTCTACTATTGAATAATAAAGTATTTGCTAACCAACATATAATATATTTGATGCATTCTCAAAAAATTTGAATGGTCCTTAGGGTTACTTAATAAGACAGAAGGGGCTGGGGTTGTGGCTCAGTGATAGAGCACTTCCCTAGCATGTGTGAGGCACTGGATTAAATTCTTAGCACTACGTATAAATAAAAGTCCATCAACATCTTAAAAGATTTTTTAAAAAAGAGGATAATGACAGAAAAGAGGATGGGAAATAGCTTCTAACAACTGTCATCTTTGTCTTTTGTTGTATATGCATTATTCAGGTAATTGCTGCCATTGGCCAGCTTATAGTGTAGCTAAAGAAAGATAAAGGAATCCTGTCTGAAACTGTGCTTGAGAGTTTCTGAGATCCACGTTGTTTGATATGTAGCCTAATAAAAATAATTAATAGTTTTTAGTTTTGATTTGGGAAAGCTTATGGAAGTGCCTCTAAATATTATATTATTAACGTATTCATGCACATATCATTTCCTTTCAGATGTATTTCACACTTTTAAAAATGCTCTTACATTATTAGTTTGATCCTCACAACAACTTTGTAAAACATCTGTCAATAAGAATAATTAGTGGTTCACAGTTCAGTTACTTGCCCAAAGTTTTAACGTTTGTAAATGATGAAGTCTGTGTACAAAATCAGATCTCTGGACTCCAAATCCACTTTCCTTTTCCTTTCTTCATGGCACCTCAAGTTCTTTGTGTATAGTCTCTACCAGGATTGGAGGCCAGAGGATGGGATCTGTAATATTGACAAGAAACAAAAACACATTCCTGAACCTACAGATATAATTGTACCTAAAAGCCAACTGACTTTTGTGAGTGACTGTAATAATTCAAGGAATAAGAAATACCTAATAGATCAGTGGATATTAAGGTTCCTTGTATAGAGCAGGTGTTCCTTAGCATGATGATCAAATCACTGAGTTCATGGGATGAATAAAGGTGTAACTGGTGCTTCCATTTCCCATCAACTTCAAGTATATGTGCATCCTCCTAGTTACCATAATGGATGATAAAAATGACATGCTCAAATCAAAACAATACAATGATTTTTTATAATATTTATTTTTTTTTAGTTTTAGGTGGACACAATATCATTATTTTTACATTTATGTGGTGCTGAGGATCGAGTGCATACTAGACGAGCACTCTACCACTGAGCCACAACCTCAGCCCAATACAATGATTTATTTACAATGATTTATCTACTAGTCATGGTCAGCTGAGACAAAATTAATTTTATTTTTTCTGGGCTTTATAAAATGAAGGATTTTGATGTATTGTGAATTCCAGCCATGACAAGTTTTAAGGAAGGAATTAAGGAGGAAGAGTAGCCTCTTGGACAATTGTAATACGGTAACCTTTCTTGGCAGGCAGCTTTCATATGTATTTATTCATTTATACATGCTGTTTTGGAAACCTAAAATTTTGATTTTACTGACAGTTCTTAAAAATTAATCCTCTTGATTTTTCACAGTGTAAACAGCAAAGTATGAGATAGGTACATGGCATACCATATATAAGATACATTAGTTATCTTTATCCATAGAAAATATTATATTAAAATATATTAAATCAACTATTACTTATATGCTATAACATAAATTGGTAGTCTTATTAAACAGATTATTATTTAGTTTACTATATGTGAAGGAATTATGTGTCGCTCTTAAATATCATAGAACTTGCAGACAAAAACAAAACATGAATTTAAGCCTGTGCCTGAATGTTCTGGATGTTTTTCCTCAATTTTCTATATATTTCCTGCAAAAAAAAATGGTTTCTGAGAAACCAAATATGTGAGCAATAACTGTGTAGATGCAATCTCGAAGAAAGTGCTGATAATTTGTATTTCTTATGTCATTAAAACCTAACTGGGATATATAATATAATAAGTATATGTGATGATATTTTATGCTTTGATTTTTTAATGATTCAGTGAATGCTTTATAGTTAAGTATAATAGTTTGATGTAATCACACATGTATACAATTTAATTTGCTCCCTTTCAGTCCTGGTGCCTCCTTTCCCTCCCCCTAGTCCTCTTCCTCTACTTGTCTTCCTTCTATTTACTTATCTAATCATTTTTAATGCTTTAGTGCTTTGTAGATATATAGAAAGGTGTATTCAGTGTGGTATGTTTATACAGCATATAGTGTTATTTTGTCAAATTCATTCCACACTTCTCCCCTTTCCCATTCCACCTCTCTTAATGTCATTCTGCTATGAATATTTTGACATTTTACAGAATTGTAGGCCTTCAGCAAGGCTGAATGATATCCATGGACTCTAAAGTTTGGTTCTGCTTATTATTATCTGTACATCTCAGTTGTCAAATAGTAGTCAGGATTCACAGCACTGATACACATAATAACCTATAAATTAACTGAGCGGCTCCTTAGCTCATTTGTGCTTGAACTGAGGGTGTGGGTAGTGTCCCTAGGAATTTCTAAATTTTATGCTGAGTTATTCTTCCCTAAACCTTTTTTTTTTTTGTCTGAAAGGGAGTTTGCCATCCTTTTATATATTCCCTGATAAAATGTATTAGGATAGGGAAAAAATTTCTCTTGATGATGTTTGATTTATCATCATAACTTCCAACACTGATTATTCAGTCCTAGGACTCCTGATGTCAGATATGCTATTATTGGCATGAATTAACTGATCAGTTAAGATGAATCCCCTAGAATCGGTCTGCTGCCAACCATTAACTTCATTTCAATCTCATATGGAATAGTACCACAATTTTTGCCTTTCATTTATATTTTTTCCTATATTTTTGTTTGTTTTGCATTAGCTTAGTTTTATTTTTCATTTTATGACCCATGCTGTCATATAAATATCAATATTGATGAAGAAAGTAAAATCCTTTGGGATATAGAAAACCAGAACCTTTTATCTCTTCTTTCGAATGTTAAAAATGTTAAAAATACTAAGAGAGAAATGTTTTTGTGGGGATCGTATGTGTTTTAATAGATGGTTTGTATATTTTCCTAGTAAGGTAGAAGAGTATAAGATTCCTGAGGATTGTCTGCTGGGGTGCGGGGGGCGGGGAAGACTAAGAAATATGTATATAAGTATCTTCATTTGAAGAAGCTAAACTGATATTTTTTCATGGAAATTACATGTAAATGAAGTTTTCTCTCTAACAGTGGCGGATAGAACTGAATTTGCGAAGGAAAGAAGAGGCGATGAATGAGGCCAAAAAACGGAAAGATAAAGACTTAGAAGAGAAAAAGCACTTTGAAGAAATTATGAAGAGAAGAGAAGAGAAACTGCATAAGCAAACCAAACCTTATGAGCTTCCTCAGATGACTGAAGCAATTTCTTTAGAAAAGAAAATGTCTCACAAAAAAATGGAGATCACATTGCCAGAAATTAATAACAGACCAAGAGAGCTTCATATTAGGAATATTTGTTGTAATTAATCTGAGGTCATTGGGTGGAAAGGAGCTGTCATCCTAGTGCAAGCTGTTTAATAGTCATATTTTAGTCCTACATTGGTAGTCAACTTTTAGTCAGTTGAATGAAGTGATTTCACCAGTTAAAAATTTCCAATTATATAACTATTGCTTTTCTCAGTTGATGCTTGTCTTGTGATTGTATAGCATTCTTGATCAGTCATTCCCAGAATGTTGAGTTTCATTGGACTTTAAGACGGAAATGAATTCCAAATTAATGGATCACTGAATAAGAGTTATTTCTTGAAAATAGAGTGAGCATTTGATTATACTCCTATAGTCACTATTATTCAAATAAATGAAGTTGTGGCATCTATTTGCATTTGCATTTTATTGTTGACATGTAAGTAAACACTATGACAGAGACTTGAATTTGCTAAATTACTATACGTAGGCAAATCTGGAAGGGCCAGTCACCTTTGATGCACTTGATCTTTAATGGATGCCAGCAGAAATCTATGAGTGACAGTGGTTTTACTTTGTCAGATGAGTTTATGGCAATGGATTAAGATGATCCTGCCAAGTGCAGTATAAACTACTGGAGACATTCATCCCGTTAGTAGTCATTTTTTAGAGTATGTAACTTCATCTGAAGCTTTCAATCTATGAGTAATAACAATGAAAAAAAGGGATCCTGTGATGCCTTGTATTCCTTTTCTGAAAAACATAGATAATATATTTTTCAATTTCACACACACAGCTTGGAGATACTCAAGAGACAGGTACATTATCAGGTCTGTTGAATGACCACACAGGTCAGAAAGGTAACATATATTAATGATGGGAGCTGGAGAATGCCTATCCCATCTAGAGAAATGTCTTGCCACTTGACTACATGCTGACATGTATGAACTGTGTTGTAGTATCTTCTAGTCTTTCAGGAAGAAACCTTTAAATGGATTTTTTAAAATTAAATTTGTACAGTGTATATTTTAGTCAGCTTTTGCATTGTTGTGACCAAAAGTCTGACAAGAACAATCTTGAGAAGGAAAACCTTATGTGGAATTCATGGTTTCAGAGGTTTAGTCCATGATCAGCCAACTCCATAGCTTTGGGTCCCAAGATGAGGCAGAACATCATGGCGGAAGGGCATGGCAGAAGAAAGCAGTTCCAATGGCACACTGCCAGCGACCTCTCTCCTCCAGCCACATCCTACCTGCCTGCAGTTACCTCTCAGTTAACACATATCCACTGATTAGGTTACAACTCTCATAAGCTAATCATTTCACCTCTGAACATTCTTGTATTGTCTCACATAGGAGCTTTTGTGGGATGCCTCATATCTAAATCCTAACACAAAATTTCAAATTGTTTCGAGAATTTTTTTTTATCATTTAAGTTTTTATTAGTGCATTAGAGTTATGCCCAATAGGGTTCATTTTCATATAATTATACAAGCATGGAATATAATTCTCTCCAATTCAATCTAGTACTTGATCTCCCCCACCCCACTCCTTCCTCCCCCGTTCCCTTTTTTTTAAAACTACAGATATTCTATTTACTTATAGTTTTTAAAAATTAATGTAGGATAGATTTATACATCAAGGTGAAATTCACTGTGCCATATTCATATATGTACATACGGCAGTGTGATCAGTTTCATTCTACTGTTCTTCCCTTTTCCTGTCCCTCCTCCTCTGCCTTCAATCCACGTCCTTTACTCCATTAATCTTCTATTTGTATGGGACTCCCCCACACACACACTTATTTGGGGTTAGGTTTTACATGTAAGAGAAAAAAAATTCAGTTCTTGACTTCCTGGGTCTGGCTTATTTCACGTAGCATGATATTCTCCAGTTCCATCCATTTATCAGCAAATGCTATAATTTCATTCTTTTTTATGGTTGAGTAAAACTCAGCTGTATATACGTATGACATTTTCTTAATTCATTTATCTATTGACAGGCATCTAACTTGGTTCCCTTGGTTGTTGTAAAGTGTGCTGTTATAAATATTGCTGTGGCTGTATCCCTATAGAATGCTGATTTTAGATCTGTTGGATATATACCAAGGAGTGGAATAGCTGGGTATGAGGTAGTTCCATCCCTACTTTTTTTTTTTTTTTTTTTTGGTAGTTGAACACAAAACCTTTATTTTATTTATTTATTTTTTATGTGGTGTTGAGGATTGAAGCCGGCGCCGCACGTATGCTAGGCCAGCGCTCTAATGCTGAGCCCCAGCCCCAGCCTGCATCCCTACTTTTTTGAGTATTCTCCATACTGTTTTCCAGAGAGGTTGTACTAATTTGCAGTTCCACCAACAATGTATGAATACACCTTTCCCCTCATATCCTCACTAGCATTTACTATTATTTGTGTTCTTGATAATTGCCATTCTGACTGGAGTAAGATAGAATCTTAGTGTAGCTTTGATTTGCATTTCCTTGATTGCTAGAGACGTTGATCGTTTTTTCATATATTTCTTGGCTATTTGAATTATTTCTTTTGAGAAGTATCTCATTTGTTATTTTGCCCATTTATAAATTGGATTGGTTCTTTTTTTTTTTTTTTTAGTTTCTATACAGTCTGAATATCAATCCCCTGTCTGAGGAGTAGAAGGCCCATTCCCTGTTCTGTAGGCTCTCTTCATGCTCTTGTTTCCTTCCTGGGTAGAAGATTTTTAAGTTGATACCATCCCTCTTATTGATTCTTGGTTTTCTTTCTTTTGCTTTAGGAGTCTTGTTCAGGAAGTTGGTGCCTGTGCTAATATATTGGAGTATTGAGCCTACGTTTTCTTTTAGAAATTACAGTTTCTGGTTTAATTCCTGGGTCTTTGATCCATTTTGAGTTGATTTTTGCTCAGGATGAGAGATAGGGATCTAGGTCCATTCCTCTAAATAGGGAAATCTCAGCACCATTTGTTAGAAAGCTTATCTTTTCTCCACTGTATGTTTTGAATATTTATTTTGAAATTCTTTTTTTTTTGAATATCAGATGATTGTATCTATGGGGATTTGTCTTTGTCTTCTAATTCCATTGGTCTTCATGTCTATTTTGGTGCCAATGGCAAATAATTTTTTAAAATCATATTTTATTTTAAGTTTGACACATGGACCACAAATTTGTGACTTATATTATGTGAGTTTAAGGTATCATTATTTGTTTAAAATAACAAAATATGTGGTAGAAAAATCTTGGGGGTAAGTTTCTGTTTTCATTCACATATAACTGATTCAAACTTGGTTTTTATTCCCATTTTGTGCTATCCTTGTGTCCTTCTACAGAGAATATTCAAGTTGTTACAAATAAAATTTCCTTCAACTATTGCTTTATTTACACGTGAAAATAAATCTCTCTTAATGAAAACCAGCCACTTTCATCTCTCTTAATGAAGACCAGCCAGTTCCATTTCTCTGAATCTCTTTTCCTCCAAAAGCTTGTTCTAGCAGGTGTTTATCATCTTCTAGGACTCTTCCCATCACCCAGTTCTAAACCTATGGAAGTCCCAGGTACTCTCATCCTTCCATCCATACCACTCTCTTGTTAAGAACCACTAATGAATGACATGAGCCTTACCAAACCCTGGCTGCTTTTTTAAGTGATAATCTTTCTATTGGTTTACAGGCAGATGTAACCACTGAGTTAGAAATTGAAGGGAAGGGACTCTAGCATCTGACTGCTACTTGTAAGAATTTCAACAAATCCTGCTGTTTTCAGCACCAACTTCATGAAAAGAAACCTGGTCCCTCCATTTCTAAAACTTTCTGGCATTTTGAGACACAATCTTGTCTGCCTTAAGACTTTCCCACTACTGACTTTGGTTTATTTTGCTCTTCTCTGCTTAGATTTGTTCCTGCTTGTTCAACTGCTTTCTAACCTCCACAGTTGTGTTAGTATTTCCAACACACTATCGTCTTTTATCCTTATGGATTCATACCTTTGTTTTAATAACCGCTTTGCTCTCAGTAAATGGTGATTTAGAAGAGAGAAAAAAATCTCTATATAGGTATATATGAAGAAAGAAAGAAATGGAGAAAAAATGGTTAAAATACTTATACTTTAATTCTTAAATTATTCATTTTTATTTAGCAATAAAACATTTCTCACTGTTGTCTCATGTCTCTGACTCTTCTTGAAATATTAGCAAAGATTGTGCTTGTAAATCTGGATCTACATCCTAGTTTTACCTCTGGTTAGCTATGATATAATAGGCAGTCACCGAACCCTTTGTACTTCATTTTGCTAATTTATAAAATGGATACAATTAATATAAAGATTGCCATCAATCAGAAGGTAATTAGGGAAAAACTCTCATCAATCATTTTAACAGAATTGATGTCAACAATTATTCTAAAAGGTGTTCGAGAACTGAGAAAATGAGAAAGGAACATAGAAACAATACAGAAACAGTAACTGGAGAAAACTGCTACCATTCCTAGTCCATGGAATCAAACAGAATGGGATTATCAGAATGTGGGGATTAGAGGAGACACCTCACACAGTGGGGCTCAGGCCGTTGATGGGGGGACACTGCCTTGCTATTGCTGACACTTCTGAGGGATGAGCCCAGGGGAAAAAAAAATGGAAACCTGAACAAACTGTCTACTTTTAAGACCATACATGCAGGAAGAGAAAGGCAATTGGAAGAATCGTTTCTTCATCCTCTCCATTCTTGTACATGTGCTCTCCTTTCCCAGCATCACACAGCAAAAGACAAAAGCGTAGGTTTGGAGCTGTCACTAGTTAAATAACTGGAAAGAATGTGCAGCATAATGCCTATGACATATTAGACTATGTCATAATGTTGCCCCCCTTTCTTTCATTTTGCATCATAGGTCCTTTTCTCGGCTCTTTCTGCAACTCTCCCAACACACACACACACACACACACACAGGAGTTTGGAAGAAAAAAATCATTTTTTTTTAAGTTAATGTAAATGGCTGGCTGAAAAAGAAACTTCACTACAAGTCATTTTTAGAACAAATTTTCATTTTTTTCCATTAAGTGCTCAATTTAACACAAACTCAACTGGAATTATTTGTCATTTACATTTAGTATTAACTTTGCTTTAAAATTCACAAAGGGGTCTATGAGTCTGGGACTGTGTTGATATCAAATTATCAAATGGAGCCTTTCAGCTACTCTTTTTTCCCCCTTTATCTTATGTTTTCTCATTCTTTGTTATTTGTTTTCCACTTTGACAGGAGGAAGAAAGAGAAAGAGAAAGATATTCTTGTCTATTTACCCTTTACAGCTCTTATTTACTGTTAAGTGCCTCTTTTAGGAAGTGTTTAGCCTCCCTCAGGTCTAAATTCCCTTTGAACTAAAACTTGTTTCCATGCTACTTTACCATTATGTTTATTTCTATTTTGAAAGAGCAAACCAAGGGTTTCCTCCCTTCACTTATTATAGATTCTGTAGTTTTCTCTTAGTAACCATCAAAGCAACTTCTTTTTTACACAAGCTATTTCATTGACCTTTTAACATATAGAGAATGAATTACTTAAAGGACTTTTAGGCTGTTTATATTAGAGTGTTGAAAATTAAAAAGTATATATTAGGAGGAAAGGGGAGAAACAAAATAATAAATTCTAAGTAATACAAGCATAAAAATGAGTATTTATCCTATTGTGATTTTAAAATAAGGGCAAATAGTATGATTCATATAGGTTTGTGGGCATACTGGAGACATTTAAGAAAGAAAATATCTGAAAAAAATATACATACTCTAGCATTAGTGAGTGTAT